GAAAAAAAATCTACATTAGATCAATAAAAAAATGTATTGTCTGGCCGGGCGCGGTGGCTCACGCCTGTACTCCCAGCACTTTCGGAGGCCGAGGCGGGTGGATCATGAGGTCAGGAGATTGAGACCATCCTGGCCAACACGGTGAAACCCCATCTCTACTAAAAATAAAAAAAAACTAGCCGGGCGAGGTGGCGGGTGCCTGTAGTCCCAGCTACTTGGGAGGCTGAGGCAGGAGAATGGCGTGAACCCGGGAGGCAGAGCTTGCAGTGAGCCGAGATCACGCCACTGCACTCCAGCCTGGGCAACAGAGCGAGACTCTGTCTCAAAAAAAATAAAAAGATAAAAATATTTTGTATTAAATATGGAATTTGAATGTATGGATATCGTTTTAGATCACCTCATTAACAAGTTAAATTTAGGGCAAGAAATTCTTCCCCTCATGGTTGAGACTGCTTATTTTCACCCAAAACCTTAAATTAAAAATTTGACAAGTAGTGGGTTACAAATGTAAAGACTAGGTAATAAAGGAACTGAATATGCTAGCAGATTAGTCACAGAAATAAACTTTAAAATATTGCATTACAAAGAGGAAATGCTTATTTAAAGGAAATATAAATTGTACAAGAGGTCAGAAAGCCTCAGGTTTATAAGTTCACATAAATCTCTGACTCTGCAGTTTAGAGCAGGTGTGCTTAGCTTTAATTAATGCTTTAGCATTCTGGTTCAAATAAAATGTTATCATAGGTTCTTTTTACCCCATGTACATACACTACCAGGTTTACAGATGGTTTGGGCAGATCAAGAGAAAGGCAGCCACATGCTTAGTCTCTTTTAAGCATGTTTTAACTTTCAGTTTGAAAATTTTATATATAGGAGGAAAGGCAGAAATGAAGGAGAAAGCAAAGTTTCAGACAGAATCCTTCTTTTTAGCTGTCCTGTGTAAGTATACATTAATTAGCCCTTAGTAAGCAATGGCTGGTTGGGAGGGAAAGGGGGCTTACATATTATTATTATTTTTTGAGAAGAGAAGAAGCAAGGGACAGGAAGTCCATATGTAAAATGTTTTTCCCCGGTACAACTTTTAATCTGATTTGTTTATTTACTCATTTGTTTGTTCATCATTCAACCATTATTTATTTAGTGGCTATTTTGTGCCAGATAATGTTCAAGCCATTGGAGATATAATAGGTATAGTCTCAACTTTCATTGTGCTTATAATCTAAAAGGGAAAAGAGACAAGTAAATAGGCAACTGCAATAGAATATAGTAAGTGGATAAGTAGTTTTCTATGGGAGCAGATATAACCCAGATTTAGAGAGCACAGGACATCTAAATGGAGCCACCAACGATTCAATGAATTGTGGATATTGATGGCATAACACTGATGACATCAGATAAGCATGTATTGCGTAGAGAGAACATTATGTGGAAATGTCCAGAGTAAAAGCAATCATGGCTTTTTGGAGTAACTAAAAAATGTCTCAGTATGGCTGAAGCATACAGCAATTTGGATAACAGAGCAGGAGATCAGATGCTGGGCCTTGTAAACTTTGTTAAGGAGTTTAGGCATCATCTTCATAGCAGTGGGAAACCATTGCAGGATTTTAGGAAGAGGGTAAGGTGTTCATATCTGTATTTTAGAAAGATCTCCCTGGCTATATTACAAAGTCTGCATTTCAGGGTTTTAGCAGTAGGGAGATGATTTGGTCTAGAGAAGTAGCAATGAGAATGTTTAGAATTAGATGGATTCAAGATCTCAGAATCAGTAGGACTTGATCATTGATTGGGCATGGGAATGGGGAACAGCAAAGACTCAAAGATTATATTGGTGTCTGGCTTGGTATGATTCATTGGAATAAGAGATATGGGGGAAAAATAGGTTTGAGCGGAAGCTGAAATGTTGAGTGTGAGGAATCGTTGGGCATACTGATGGAGTTATTTAGTATTTAGTTATGAAAAAATATGAAGGTCAGGAGGAGATCTGGACTTGAGATGGTGCATTTGAGAATCATTAGTTTATCATCGTTTTTGAAGCCATAGGAGTAGATCAAGATACCTGGTGGTGGAATATAGGCGGAAAGATAAGGAAAACTAGAACAGAGCCCCAAGAAACATGAACATTTGAGGAATGGGCAGAGTAAGAGATGTCCACTGAAGGGATTGAGAAGTAGTCCAGTAAGTATGAGAGAAACCAGAAAGGTGAGGCAACAGCAAAGACAAAGAAGATAATGTTTCATGAAAGGAGTGGTAGTGTTGTCATATGCTTCTGAGAGGTTACCACAAGTTCTGAGAAGTATCCGTTGACTATCACAACAAAGAAGTTGTTCAAAACTTTGGCAAGAGCAGTTTTAGATGGAAATGGGTTGAAGGGTCTATAAGGGGTAAGAAAGTGGTAAAGTTCAGTGGATACAAAAAGTCTGGCGATGCATGGAAAAAAATAATTTGGTATTTGGAGGAGGGTGTGAAGTCAAGGAATTCATTTCACTTTTAATGGGAGGATTGGTGAAACTTAGTTTTTCTATTTTTCTGGTGTTTTGATAATATACATATCTAAGAAACAGGAAGGAAAGAAGATAAACACTTGAACCCTTGGAATTAATTCTGATTGTCTGTTTTCAAAGTCAGAAATAGCAAATACATTTTTTATCAGAGCTATCTTACTGCAGTGCCTAAGCAAAAAGGAAACAATATGTATATTCTGGCTTTCTCAGCTAGTCTAAGTTGTACTAACAATATTTATATTTTCTAAGGACTGAGCATAATTATTTGGAGAATTATTTTTTTCTGGAGTGAGACAGAATCTTGAATGAAAGGAAGTCTGTAATTTGTTCAGAGTCTTTAATTTAAATGCCATGTGATTTTACTCTTGTAAAAATCATAGAATCTAAGAACTCAAGGGACCTTAGAGATGAGCTAGTTCAAAATGCTCCTTTTACTGATGTATTAGTGTTACCATAGGAAACAAATGACATGTTAGGTATAACTGAAGAGAGTTTAATAAAGAGACTTTTACAGAGGTGTGGGTAAGGTCAAGGGAACTAACGAGGAAGGGTTCTCTTGTGAAGCTGGAAGCCATTATACTTTAGGAGCTGCGGATATGGAGTAATGTTGCCAGAAATGCAGCAAGGCAGAGAAAGAATGACACAGGTGAAAATGGCAATGAGTGGGAATAGTTGAGGGGAATTCTCTATAGAGGTCAGCCTCTTGGGGTAGGGGAAGTGTCAGAATAGAGGGACAGAGGGACAACCGAAAATAACCAGCCTATTTGATAAGGATACTAAGTCCCACAACAGATTGGTGACTAAAGCCTTTCCTATTATTTTATACTCAGTAAACCCCATTCAGTTGCAGACAACAATTACTGCAGATGGGATATGATAAGTAGATGTAGAACTTGTTAATTCATTAATACACTAAATGTTGCATATCTGAAACCAGAGAACAGTATGACTAATCACCCAGAGAATCTGGAAGCCAGAAATTATGAATCAGAATGTTGCTGGTACAAGAGAGTATGATGTGGTAAAAGATCTATGAAAAAAGAAAATCTAGAGACTTCTGATTTCAAGATGTCAGGATAAGACTTATCTAGTCTTTTTCTGTGTCCCTAAATTAATCTTATTAATCTTCTTTTCTCAAAAATAATTTCCAAACAACAGGGAAAATAAGAAAAGGAAGCACAAGCTTTATCTTCGGTAAACCAAGGAGACATAAATAACCATAAACCACAAAATACAGAGATGGAAAGTGGATAGAGGAATGGTACATGACTTAGCAGAATGGAGAAAGGTCAGAGCCAAGTGCCTGTGGAGGGAGTTGTAGATGGAAAGGCAGCTGACTCATCCCACAGCTCTCTGGCAAGCCTTAGGAAGAAAGCAGGGTAATATGATGGGTGAGGATTTATCTGAAAGCCTTTATGAGGACTATTTAGACCCTAAAAGGCCTCTCTTCACTTGGGACCATTTCCCCCTACTGTTGCAGGAGTCTCTAGAGAAACCACCAGAGATCATTTGTACTTGGGGGCACTGAGCACTGAGAAAGGCAGGATGAGAAAGACTTGAAAACCAGGAGATTAGAGGACTTCTGCATCTGAACAGTGAAATCCTTAGCTTCATTCTTCTAGTCATTACTGGCACACTGGCAACCTCACCACCCTGCACTCCAGCAGGAATGTTGGAGGATCCTTCTCAAAGGAAATTGAACCATCCCAGAGATGGTTCATACAGATACAGACATTTGGTGACCCCCTTCTCCAGCTCCTCTATGACCCTGTTAGAAGCCCATTTATAAAGCTTCTAATAAGCTTTTTAGTGACTCACTCTTAAATATGATAGGGCATCAACGGATAGTAAGATTTTGGAAGAAAACCTCCAAAATGAACCAAACAAACAAAAAAACAGAAAACAGGAACCCAGAGGAAACAGAGACAATGCTGAGAGCAGAAGAATGCTTCAAAGACATGATGTCCTCAGAGAGATAAAAGAAAATGTTAAGTCCTTAAAAAGTAAGAGTGTTACTTTTTTTAAAAAGGAGCAAACAATAAGATAGAGTTTTTGCATATTAAAAATGTGACAGCAAGACAAAATTTAGCAAAAAGATTGCAATTGCTG